AGTTCTTTTACCTCTGATTCATTAATTTTAATACCTTTTTTCAGCCCACAAAATTTATCTAAATTTTTATGTAAATTGCCAATATCTTTTGATAATTGACCAGCACTATTGGAATCTTGACTTCCTAGTTGAAAACTTGTTGCATTGCCCAAAGCTGATTGATATTTAATAGCTTCTTTCTTTAAGTCATCATTATCTTTTAGCAAGCCATTAATATAAATATCCTTTGAATTTAATAATGCCTCTAATTCTTGACAATTTGTTTGAAGATTTTGACACTTTGTTTGAGAATTTTGACAAGTTGTTTGAAGATTTTGATAATCTCTTTGAAGATTTTGATAATCTCTTTGAAGCTTTATCAATCCATTATTTTTACTTTCCAATTCATTATTTTTACTTTTCAATTCAAATTTTTTTCTTTCTTGATAGTTTCCTTCAAAGTTTTGACACTTTGTTTGAATATTTTGATAATTTCTTTGAAGAATTTGGTAATTGTTTTCGAAAATTTTATTTTGTGGTTTTGTATTTTGGTTTTTCTCTAATTCATTAATTTTATTTTCCAATTCATTAATTTTATTTTCCAATTCATTGATTTTACTTTCCAATTCATTATTTTTACTTTCCAATTCAAACTTTTTTCTTTCCAATTCCAATTCATTATTACTACCTTTATTTTCCGTGTGTTTTTTTAAAATATCGAAAGCATTTTTATTAATTATATAATACTCTCCAACATCAAGATAGTCTGTTGGTTTTGTGACCACAAATTGTTGTAATAATTGTTGTAGTATAAATAGTTGCTGAATTTGTAGGAGTTGTTGCTGAATGTCTGAGAGAATTAGGAGATGTTGCTCTGTAGGTTGTTGATGATACTGTAAGAAATGCTGTTTATATTGTGCGAAAAGTAGTTGATATTCTGTGGGTTGTTGTGTGAGTTGTTTCAGATGTTGTAAAAAATTATTTGTGAGTTGACGCCATTGATTTGAGTGTTGTTGCAGTTCTTGAAGGAAATCTTGTCGTTGATTTAAGAGTGCTTGCAATGTTTGTGTGAATCGTTGATTTATATCATAAATAATTGTATTGCCTTCTGGGGTATATATCATTTTAAATTCAAAGAGAAACAAAGTTATTTATGCCGCTGTTTTTAATCATGTGATCTAAATGTGCAAAAAAAAACTAGAGATGAAAGGTACATATATTTTAAGCATATTTTAGAGAATTCATTGTTTTAAAAACATTTTCACTAGGGCAGTCAGCAACAATAGAATAGTTCAAGTTCCCAACATGTAGAACATAGTAATAGAATCCCATCTAGTGTCAATATCTAAGATAATTAAATTGACACAATAATTTCAATTTATCATTGAATTTTGTTGAATTCTTTATTTAATCATCAACTCTCTTGCATGCATGATCAACTAACTCGCCTACTAATTCCAATACTCACTTAACCATCAATGATAAATTATGTATGCAAATTCCCTTCTACACACTATTATCACTGGTTTGTTTTCAGCTGTAAGTGCAATAACTTTGTTTAAATATTAAACCTTTCTGCCTTTGATACCTTAAATTTGATATTTCTGCTGCTTTCTTAATGCAGAGATCATTATCAGTAGCTGAAATGATTAAAGTAAATTCCTGGTATTATTTTTTACCCTTGAATTTCCATATAACAAATAACACTAATCAGATTTTCTTTTTTTTTATAAGACTAACAAAACAGGTAAAATATGATCAATAGATAGTAATAGCAACTGAATCAACTGCTAACAATTATTTATATATTTATTTAAATACAAAGATAATAAGACTACACATGCAAATTTTAATATAGCAATATTAATTATTTTTATCACCAAATATAACATTATGTTTCAGACGTGGAATGATATAATTGTCTAGTCTTTTTAAATGTTGTGCGATAAACTTTACCAGTAGTTCTATTCTTTGCTATTGCAACAATTTCCATAGATCCAAAATGTAATGTTACTTGTATAGAACGATTCAGTCCTAAATGAATGTCAGGCATATCAACATCCAAACTACCCAATTTTTTCATCTCAGGTTCATCACAATACGTTGCATCATATTTGGTGGTATAAAAAAAGTTAAGTGTTCCACCGGTTTGATTGGGGTAAACAGGGCCCAAAATAGTGGAAAATTCTTTGTTAACATCCACCTCTGTTCCTTTCCTGGCCATCAAATCAAACTTGTAGATTCGGCCATTTATTGTTCTACGAGATAGTGGATCATCAGTTTGCTAATATTAAAAAAGTTAGTTTTGTTATTTGGATAATATAATATTGATAATATATTACTGTTTAGTTTTGGTTGGTGATGCTTACCCATTCATCACTAATTTCAACTCCATATGACCATAATAATACTCTTGTGCTTATAATCTTTCTATCAAGTCCATATTCACATGCACCCTTTACTATTGCAGTAATTGGATTGGGCGGAACTATAATAACAAAATATTTATTAACTGATTGCTTTAATTTTTAAAAAAATAGGTCAGCCAACCAACATACTTGCTATTTCTAATTTATCTCCAAATTTTTGTTTAATTCTAGATTGAAGATATTTTGATTCACTGAATCCTCCAACCAAAAACATCACTGAACAATCTGAACATTTTGACAACTGTATCTCAATCAACTTCAAAATTTTGTTGATTACTGGATCAAAAAATGATTTCACAGTATCAAAATCAAGATCAATGACCCATTCATCCTCATCTGATAATTGATCTCTTTCTGACCCAGTGACATATTGCTTAAGTGCTGGACATTTTTTCTCAATGTCCAATTCAATGGTTTTGAATTTGGATTTTTCACCAGTGAATGGAATTTTAATATCAGGACAAAAATATTTATGTATTAAATAATTAACCTGACCGTAGTGTTTCTCCTTTAACATGTTCATTGCAGATTTACCTACTCTACTTTCAAGAAATTTTAAAAACTCATCATCAACATAAGTACCTCCACAAAAATCTCCTGAACGTTCAGTCATTTCTGCTATTTGTTCATCTGGTAATAATTTTCTAACTGTTAAGTCCACAGTTCCTCCACCACAATCAACAACCAAGTATTTTGCTAAGTTAAAACATACAGTAACAATGTATTAAAAAATTATAAGCTGAGTAAAGTGAGCCAAAAAGCATTATTATATATACCTCCTGTTACTAATTCAAGATCTTTTAACATATTTATACAATGAATTGCAGCAGCTTCCGCTAAAATTTAGATCAAGTATATTAGATGAAAATCAATCATGTCATAATGGCTTAAAAATGCTTTCTTACGTTCAGTAGTAAATTGAAGATTTAGTGTGCCAATAGATTCAATCAAGCCAGCATCGTATATACATTTTCTCATAATTGTCTTGGTATCTTCAGTGAATTCTAAAATGATGATTTTTAAAATAATTAGTATATTGTGCATATATATATGTACATGTGTATTTATAAATATAATAGCTAGTTACCAGCAGGTACTGTGAAAACAAGTCGCACATGATTGTAAAAATCAATTCCAGTCCAATTTTTTACACTCTCTTTGATTGTCTATCATAAAAAATTCAAATATAAACTAAACTATCATTATGTAGCAAAAAAGCAGACATTGTTAAAATTTTAACAATGCCTGCTTTTCTGCTTCATGTAAGCTGGAAATACAAAATATTTTTATCGTACCTTTCCTAAAAAAAAAAAAAAAATTTTCGTAATTAATTTTGAAAACAATTCTTTATGTATCATTAAATGAAAAAGTAAAACGTGATTGGTTACCCATTTCACGAAGATAATCCGTTATTGCTCTATCAAAAGTAATTCCGGGAGGTAATTTGGGTTTTTTGCTTTCTGGAACATTTCCTAAATAAAATTTGAAATATTCCACCGGTCTTGGTAAAGGATTATTGGCATGTCTTCTTCTTCTACTAGGCTCAGAGCTTAATGCATCAGCCCCCCAAGTGACAACTTCTTCATAGCTTTCGTTGTATTGTAATACTGTATTGGTTTTATCAGGACTTTTGAAATGGCCCCATTCTTGATTCACTACAATTTCTATATTCTCTTTCTCTGGTTTAATGTAAGCGTAAGAAAACCCCTAATAAAGGAAAGAAGCAAAGTATCAGTTAATTAAAGGCGAGAGATAAAAAAATAAAAATAGCATATAACAATTGAGAATAAGTTTACCGAAAATGTTGTGCCAAAATCTGAATTTAAAGTACCATAAAAAAAAGACAACGCCTCGTTAGAAAAAATTTTCTGTAAGGGATATTTTAGGTTTATATGCTCACCTACTCCAATAACTAAACGTATATCCTCGTTTTCAGGTTCGAATTCAATACAGTCATGCAATTCCATAATAACGAAATATAATTTTTTAATCAAAAATTACAAAAATACATAAACAATATATATAACAGTATATATAAAACAATCATTACTAAATTAATAAGTACCATTCATTCTTTGAACATTAATGTTAATATTAATATTTTTGTCATTCGGAATTTCCTCAACATCCAAATTCAGACTTATTAAACAATAATAACGATAAAAAAACAACTTTTTATTTGTTACATAGATGATTATGGCAAATTTTTTAAAAATTTCTCACCCTTTATTACTTATTATTTCAGAATCTCCAGATAATAATGGCTATTGATGAAACGGAAGTTATAAATGCTTAACGCCATTCAAAATTTTAATTGATGTAATTAGTACAAGTATTAATATTTTTATAGGTTTAATAATAACATTGTGAGATGAAATACCATCATCATTTTCAAATCGAGTTAATAAAAAAACCAATGTTCCGCAAAATACATAATAAAATTAATGTATTTGATGAAATAACGGTAAACCTAATGCTTTCATGCAATTATAAATGGTGATGAATTAAGAGAAGAATTATATAGTTATAAGCATATTATTGATGCTAATTACAAAAAAAAATCTATAGATATTTATTAAAATATAATTTATTCAATTCCATTGTCAATAAATTAATAAATCGACAAACGATGTTAATGTTATAGGAGACCATGAACATTTTGATTATAATAAAGCTATGTAAATATGGTTTCAATCAAAAAGATAGTGTGTGATTGCATCCAAGTTGCAAATAATAATTATGCTTACTCTCGCTATAATTCGTATAGCCAAAACGATATCTTGCTAAACGATAAGCCATTGAAAGATTGGAAGCTTGCACTTCATCAATACCAAGTTTCAATCAAAAATTAATCACGTGATTAATCAAGGATGGGACCTTGGCCTATTACTATTGTATACAGGACCGGAATTAGCAATTGATGCCAGTTCATTGGCCAAAATTCTCTAATTCCGCATTAATCTATTTTTATATATTTCATATAGAATTATAATTTTATTTATAGAAATTAACGCAGATTTTGTATTTAGAGCAATTTCATACTTGAAAAGTTATTTCAGGTTTAAATCACTGAATCGCAATCACAAGAAGTTGGGGCTGGTCTAGAGATGTGCCACGCACAGCGTGTGACGCACAGTGCGTGAGAATTTTTGAGTGCGCAGTGCGCGCATAGTTCTCATGTTGTACTACATAGCATGCATGTACAAAGTTTTTCCGTATTAATACATTTGCCAATTCAGACAACGAAGTATTTTTAGTTAAGTTTTTGTAGACATTAATTAATAAATATTTCTAGTTAAAGAATATATATATAAATATGCTATTTGACTTTTTTAAAGGCCAACATTATTGCGCATTCATGACAATTCTCTGTGTACTATTACTATTACTATCTCTTAAACGGACAAAGTATTCTTTAATGTTAACGCGAAATGATTTTTTGATCACGATCTTGCATTTTTATTGGCCAATTTAACGATCTGCAAAGTAAAAATAGTCAATCGACCAACTTTTAAGGAAGATTTTACGAAAACCACAAAGTGATACAATAGCCGAAAACCCGTTTAAGGGATAATACTAATACACTATATGCATTATGTGCACTATGCGCACTGTGCGCGAAAAAAAATCAGGGTTACTATGAATGACACATCTCTAGGCTGGTCATGTTGTATGTGAGAAAATATGTGCGGATT